TACCATAGTAACATCTAATAAAAATATCTAAAAACACTGAAGCGGCAAACTTTGTGAAGACCAATACTTGTGTCATTCTCAAAACTTTTGACCATGACTGTAGATTGATGAGGGAAAAAAGCGGATTTATTAATTTTTGAATAAGGCTGTAACGTAACAAAATGTGGAAAAAGTCAAGGGGTCTGAATACTTTCCGAATGCACTGTATGTTGATAAGATTTTCAGTTTGCTTCCATATGACTGGTTTCACATACGTCCCCAGGGATCATAAGTAAAAATCCTCTAAAACAATTGTTTTGTGTATTTACAATCCCCTTCTCCAAACGGATTACTCATTTACCTAGTGCTTATCAAGTTCTTATCAATTTATAAAGTGCAGTGCATGGAGAATGCTGTTATTTCTATCTGAAAAAATAAGGTAGAAGCTTTTTCCACTTGGAACCAGCACGTTTGATCAACCTTATTCATGGTTTCCTTGCATGTAAAGGTGGTGGATTTATGAGGGAATTTAGTCAAGGTCAGAATACGGCGTATCTGTAGACGCTAGGGCTGTCCCCGACTAAAATAAATCTTGGTCGACCGAGAGTTGTCTGTTCTTTTGACCAATCGATTAGTCTAAATTTTAAAATTTGTATTTTTCCATATATAGACACACCCTATGTTTGAATAAAATCAGCTATATGTAGGCTACTGTGCTTGTCTGATGCTTTAAGCACTGCAATTAAAAATTACGACACACATATTACTAGAGGGAGCCAGAGGTCAACATAGCTTAAAACTTTTCCCTACCAGACCCTCCTCCTCCCGCTGCCTGCTGGCCTTTGCAGAATCTGAGTTATGCTCCTTAGGTTGCCCGTAATAGGCTACACCAATGGTCGGCAACCTTTTCCATTTAGAGTGCCAAGTTATCGTACCCTTTCTACTGATCTGTGTGCCAGTTATGATTTTCATATGCACATTTTTGTGGAACAGTTTCATTTAATTTATAATAAAGTCTTCATATCTCAAAATCAATGTCATGTGGTTAATCAAAATTTGATCTAAATGAAAATTATACAAATCTAAAAGTAACTTCTATTGCCATTGCCAACATGTAAAAATAGCCTACATAAAACCAACAAATAAAAACAATACAGGTTGAAAATATCCTGATAAAAATATATATCCTATAAATCACAATGGCTGTGCATGGCCTGTCTGCAAGGAACTTGAAACATTGTATCAACTATTAACTTGGTCTGCCCCCAAAGCTCATGCTAGCAAACTTACAACATTGTATAAAATATTCTGGGCCCTCAGAGTTTCCTGCAGCAGTGAGCTCCTGACAGACAGAAAAACCCAGCAGCATTGCAGTTCATGACACAAACCGTTGTGCCTGCCACCCAGTGGCGATTTTAGCATGTACAGTTGAAGTCGGAAGTTTATATTCATTTAGGTTGGAGTCATTAAAACTCGTTTTTCAACCACTCCACATATTTCTTGTTAACTATAGTTTTGGCAAGTCAGTTAGGATATCTACTTTTTGCACGACACAAGTCATTTTTCCAACAATTGTTTACAGACTGATTATTTCACTTATAATTCACTGAATCACAATTCCAGTGGGTCAGAAGTTTACATACACTAAGTTGACTGTGCCTTTAAACAGCTTGGAAAATTCCAGAAAATGATGTCATGGCTTTAGAAGCTTCTGATAGGCTAATTGACATCATTTGAGTCAATTGGAGGTGTACCTGTGGATGTATTTCAAGGCCTACCTTCAAACTCAGTGCCTCTTTGCTTGACATCATGGGAAAATCAAAAGAAATCAGCCAAGACCTCAGAAAAAAAATTGTAGACCTCCACAAGTCTGGTTCATCCTTGGGAGCAATTTCCAAACGCCTGAAGGTACCACGTTCATCTGTACAAACAATAGTATGCAAGTATAAACACCATGGGACCACGCAGCCGTCATACCGCTCAGGAAGGAGACGCGTTCTGTCTCCTAGAGATGAACGTACTTTGGTGTGAAAAGTGCAAATCAATCCCAGAACAACAGCAAAGGACCTTGTGAAGATGCTGGAAGAAACCGGTACAAAAGTATCTATATCCACAGTAAAATGAGTCCTATATCGACATAACCTGAAAGACCGCTCAGCAAGGAAGAAGCCACTGCTCCAAAGCCTCCATTAAAAAGGCAAGCTACGGTTTGCAACTGCACATGGGGACAAAGATCGTACTTTTTGGTCTGATGAAACAAAAATAGAACTGTTTGGCCATAATGACCATCGTTATGTTTGAAGGAAAAAGGGGGCAAAATGGCTTAAGGACAACAAAGTCAAGGTATTGGAGTGGCCATCACAAAGCCCTGACCTCAATCCTATAGAAAATTTCTGGGCAGAACTGAAAAAGCGTGTGCGAGCAAGGAGGCCTACAAACGTGACTCAGTTACACCAGCTCTGTCAGGAGGAATTGGCCAAAATTCACCCAACTTATTGTCGGAAGTTAAACAATTTAAAGGCAATGCTACCAAATTCTAACTGAGTGTATGTAAACTTCTGACCCACTGGGAATGTGATGAAATAAATAAAAGCTGATATAAATCATTCTCTCTACTATTATTCTGACATTTCACATTCTTAAAATAAAGTGGTGATCCTAACTGACCTAAGACAGGGAACTTTTACTAGGATTAAATGTCAGGAATTGTGAAAAACTGAGTTTAAATGTATTTGGCTAAGGTGTATGTAAACTTCAGACTTCAACTGTAAATCTTGGTGGGCCATCTATAATGTTTTGTACACTCAGTGTAGACTAGAGGCAATGATTAAAGATGTAATAATGGATAGGTCCCTCTAGTGTACAGCTTTGGCGGTGCAGTCAGACAATAGATACCAGAGTACTAAAGTCAATGGTGTTGCAGCCACAGCTGCCACACTCACCAACCAAAACAGTGTTGCTTTTTTTTATGCATGCCAGCAAAGCAACTACACAACACAACACAACACTAAACAATACATGAATTGCACTATAACGGTGACAAAAGGTGCCCACAAACTGTTAGGGCCTACATAAAGCCGTCCCAACAGCAGAGTCCCAACAGCAGTCCCAACACCTTACCATTGCTACACCTGGTTATCAGCGGAGCCTTGTCTGGCAGCGAAACAGTTAATTCAGTCTCATTTACTGCCTTATAAAAAACCATAGCTTATATGGCTGATTGCTTAAACAAATGTGGTTTCTACTGACAATTGAGATGTACAAACTATGGCATAAGGGGACGACGAGCGGATAAGAGGCAATCCGCAATTTCGATTGAGACATTAATGAGTGAGCTAGAATGGACGTAGTCAATATAACTATTTGTTCAGCACTTTTGAAATGTACAGCGACATAATTCAGAACATGGGCCGTTCTTTCAGTATTCTCCCTGTACACCAAGTCAGAACCGTAGGATAAATAAAGGGGGCAGACAATGATTACATTTCGATGATTACATTTCTCTATAACAGGCTATAGGCTACATGTGCACCACCAAGTCAGAACAGTAAGCTGAATTATGAGGGGAAAATGGACCAAATTATTAGGGTGAGGCACATGGGCTACTAACAGCTTACTACACAACATACACTTAGTATTACTTTCTTAGCTACAGTATACATATCTCCCTGGCATATTACATCATTTATGCAGCAGCATGCAAGACATTTTTGGACTCACCTTATTGTGCTGTGCTCACTTGAACAGGAAGGTGGTATGGCGGTCCTTCGTGGGCAAATTTTGTCATCAAACTTCGTCATCAAAGTCTGGCATTCTCTGGATTTATGGTGCTTTCAAGACAACTGGGAACTCTGAAAAAAACAAGGTCGAATCATGATGACTTCAGGGATCTTCAGGTCGGAGCTCTAGAAAGAGGCCCGAGTTCCCGACTTGCAATTCCGAGTTGGATGACCGTTCAAAATGTATTTTCCCATTCAGAGCTCGTTTTTTTCTGAGTTCCCAGTTGTCTTGAACTCACTGAAGTCAGATTTCCCAGTTCTGAGTTTCCAGTTGTTTTGAGCGCGGCAGAAGTCATTCTGGATTGACAGCATGGCCAATGTTAAATGTTTATCCTTTTAAGCTTGGAAAAGAGACCCTTAAACCCAGACTTGGGACCACACACCCACTCCACTGAATAGCAGGCTAGTGATCGCTTTGCAGTGCTTGCAGTTAACCACTGATTCCTTCCAAACCACTCATTGTTGAATTCGCGATTTCCAACTTGTTGTGTAATGTTTATGTCCAATGGCCGATGAGCACCGATACGTTTTATCTATAATTTATCTTCATTATTTCTCTTCATATGACAAGTATTAAAAAGCATTTGCCAGTAGATTATCGATTTGATTCATGATGATAACTGCTAGCTTGCTAGCAATGATTTTGAAAGTATGATGTTGACATGATCAGTCCAATCAAAGCTACGGTAGATATAACGTGATTTGATGTCATTTTATCTGTGGCCAATGACCTTGAGCCTTCTTCGATGGGCACTTCTAATGTAACTCTATGGCAGCATCCAAGGGGCTTGAATTTTCGAGCTCTACCCTTGGATTTGGCGGTGACGTAGTGTCCCCATGAGTGACGTAGGTTCCCCATGAGTGACAGAACACTGAGCCAATCACGGCGCAACAAGAGAATATTATCCAGTCACGGCGCAACTAGAGAATATTACCAACCCCTACGCTCCGTATTTTCCGCTGGCTGCCCCACCACCACAGAAAGCACTGAGGTAGGCTGAAACACCTGCATTTTGGAGCTGCCTTACTCAAGAAAGCGAAAAAAGAGACCAAGTTTGTATGCGGCTTTATTAACTCAAAGTCAGTCAGACAATAGATACCAGAGTACTAAAGTCAATGGTGGTGCAGCCACAGCTGCCACACCCACCAACCAAAACAGTGTTGCTTGTAAGCAGTAAGGGCTCTTGTTGTCTTTAGTTGATATTTCAATGCATGTGTCTCTGTACTTGAACCAGGTGCTGTATGTATCAATCCTCTCAAAGTAGGAGTGCTAATCTAGGATCCCCTCTGTCCATTCATTATAATCGTACATTTAAGAACTGATCCTAGATCAGCACTACTAGTCTGATATGCTCGATACATATGGCCCCATGGTCTTGGTTTGTGTTGCAGGTGTGGCCCGGGTGGGCTATGGAGATGTGTCCTCTCGTAAGGCCCTGCGTGAAGCTCTGCAGTGTAAACCCTTCTCCTGGTACCTGGAGAACATCTACCCTGACTCTCAGATCCCCAGGCGATACTACTCACTTGGTGAAGTATGAAGTATTTCAGATACTACAGCCCAATGTACCTCTCATGACCATGTATGCATCCCAAATAGCACTCTATTCCCTATATGGTGTACTATTTTTAACAAGGGCCCATATGGAATTGGGTGCCATTTGCAATGCAGATCATTCATTTGATATCATAAGACAGTAGTCCTACTTCTCTTTAAAGTAAGTCAGGGATGATAACTGGCGTCATGGGTTTAGTTGTTGACTCAAACCCAAGCACAGGCTAGAGTTAGCTAACAACATTCTAGATAACAGGTTAGCACCAGGCAAAGAGGGGAATGATCTTGATAACATATGCCAATAAAAGAGGAAGGCCATGATTGATAAAGAGCATGTTAAATAATGTGACGGGTTGGGAGTTTGGAGAGGAGGTTGTAATCCCCAAGTTTAATTCTGATGAGGCTCCACGATTTTACAGCCTGCATCCAATGTACTGCAGTAAAAGCTGCCTATGGCAGGGAACTGCAGCAGTTGCAGTAGCAGGAGTACCCTCAGTCTTCCCTTCCCCTCTCCTGCGCTCCCGTCTGTTCCATGATTAACTCACTCCACAGCACACATCCCACTTTTAACAGCTCCAGTCATTAGCTTTTATATCATTTAATTATGAACGGTACCATTCCTGCATAGTAAGCAGGTTATACAACACATAGTACATAGAGCATGCCCCTATGAGTATATTAGTTAGACATTAGATGGCTCATTGGATTATGGAATCATTAAATAAGAATTTGGGTTGGGAACATAGATCACAACCGGTCTGATTTATGCAGCCATTTGCGTTGCTAAGCAAGGTCCCGAATTATGACTTACATCACCGGTGAGGTAATGAGTTAGATTGCTAGTTTTATTGAATAGTAAATATTTAATTAGATTTGACATCTGGGCCACAGAGACAGGAAGCAGGTGCTTTTAATTTTGTCACCTGGAAATGATGTGCCAGTGTTTGATGAGAGGGATGCCATTTCTTTCACCTCTATAAGCGTGGCTTTTGTTAGCTGTAAATATTCCAGGTTGGATGGAAGGATGGTAATTATGAATAAGTATGAATCCAATGTTGAATCTCTCATTTTATTCCTTTCTACCCCTAGATCAGAAATGTTGAAACGAACCAGTGTGTGGACAACATGGGCAGAAAGGAAAATGAGAAAGTTGGCTTCTTCAACTGCCATGGCATGGGTGGGAATCAGGTAAGGAGACTGCAGTAGAGAGTAGAAAGAGCAGAGAGCTATGGACTTGGTTGCAAAATACCTTTCCCATATTTCCTAGGTTTTCCAGAAATCCCGGTTGGAATGGAGAGAATTAGCAGGAAATCCAGAATCCTCCAGCCAGGATTTCTAGAAAACCTAAGAATTTGGGAAAATTACCAGAATTTTGCAACCCAAGGAGCTATGGACTAGTAGGTACAGTAAATGTATTGTTCTCTCCGCCAGGTGTTTTCCTACACAGCTGATAAGGAGATCCGGACAGATGACCTGTGTCTGGATGTGTCTCGTCCCCATGGCCCTGTGGTCATGCTGAAGTGTCATCAAATGAAGGGGAATCAGATGTTTGAGTATGATGCAGAGGTAAGATCAAATTCAAGACTCCTCCTGTACTGTGTGAGTCATGACAGGAGTGTGATAACTTGTGATTATGATGCCTTTGCCACACACTGATTGTCCAGAGTAATTTCTGCACTATTACATAGGAAGAGATTTCATATGTATAATGACACACCTGTCCTAATACATCTATAAATCTTCAAAAATTGTATGATTGTTTTAAGCCACCAGATGGTGCTACATGTCAGGAGTTGGGCTTCCGGTCAAATCCTGTACAGTAGCCTTCATTCTGTAGCTCTGTGCACATTGCAGCCCATAGTATTCCCCATTTATTAAAATGTTCTTCTCTCATGTAGTATGTTGGCAAGTGGGAATATGATTTTGAGGTAAGCTTTCTGACCTGGTGCTCTTGAATGTTGTCATCTAGTTGATGTAGACAGTGTATAAGTCCTGTCTTTGGCAGGTAGTAGTATCTTGTTCTTAGTGGTTGTGAGGCCAGTGTTTTTTCTCAGTAGTCTACGAAGTCCTGTGTGAAGTTGTGTTAGTAGTTAATTGAAGAGGTTATGTTAATGCTCTGAGGAATGTGACTTGTTAGCCAGACCAGTGGACCGAACAGACGCCACTGTCCTGTTTTGAGCCTAATGACGTGTGTCCCACATTGCACTCCATTGACTCAGACATAGAGTTGCAAAATTCCAGTAACTTTCCAAAAATTCCATGGCTTTCCAGAAATCCTGGGTGGAAGTTTAATGGAATTCTTGTGAATTTTGGGAAAGTTGCTGGAATTTTGCAACCATATGACAGCAATGTTAGACACTACTGGATGGCCCATGATATTCCAAAAGATTGGTTTTCATTTCAATGATCCAGGACTTGATGAATTGAGTGCACTTCTAGATCAATCCATAATATATCTATCATGAAAACCATCTATGCTAATACAAGTGCCATTTTGATGTGCATCAGACTTTGAAACAAGCATAGCATACTATCACAGCACCAACAATAAAGCATATACATTCTCATAGGGAAACTGTAGCATACAACAATTGTGTATTCTCAAACCAGCCTTAATATTAACAATTAATATCGTTATATTTCTTCCACTGGGACACATTCATATCAGTGTAAATACAACTATGATGCTATATATTTTTTTAGAATATAATCTTTGAGAACTAACAATCACCTAAATAAAAGCTAGACAGTCAGGGAGAATTTAAAATTAAAAAACATTGAACTTAGCAGTAAATATGTTGTTATTATACAAAATAACACAGCATTAGCCATGGCAAAAATAGAATTGCAGGAAATTAGCTTTAAGACTGCAACATTCTCTCTCAGCTTCATGGCAAAATGTGTAGAATTTTAGGAAATTAGCTAAAAAAACGCAAAACCTTCGCTCAGTTCAATTAATACTATTTGTAGAATTGCAGTAAATTGGCATAAAAATACAAAAATGTCTCTACGGGGCCTTTAAAATGTTCTCTAAAATTCCAACGGCCGACCGTGCCCCCTGCCACGCCCCCTGCCATGCCCACCACCCCTTTCTGATCCAGAAAAACCCTGCTACCTGCTCCAGTATGGTGTCACCTGTCATTGATTAAGATCTCTCATGTCACTGTCAACTTTGAAAAGCCCCCAGGCTCATCTATTTCTGGACAAACCCTCGGAGAGATCCAGGCATTACACTTTGTACTTTAGTTAAATATGTAATATGAAAACATGAATAATTCATGCATTAAGAAATGTCGCTGACATATACAGCAGTGGGGTTTCAATGCCGCTGTCAACGGCCTGATTATTTTTAGCAACAGTGTGACGGGCGATACTGCTGATCCCAGCCGTACCATTAACATTTCATATGGTCATCATTTTCAGCATCCGAGAGACAGAGAGAAATACCTGACTTCTACATAATCTCCATATTCCAGGTGGTCAGAGCCTGAGCTTGAAGTGGACTGAAATAGCTGTCGGTACACATTTTGGGTACCTGTTTATATTTAGGTGCCGGTACTCTGCAATATTTTTAAGCCAATATTCTTCAAGAGGTACTGGTACTCAAGCAGTAACAAATTTGAGGTGCCGGTACTCAGTACCAGTGTGTAACAGTCCAATTCAAGCACTGGTCAGAGCCATCTCTCTTCTCACCTCTATTCTCAATCCCTCCCTGCTCATCCTTTCATAGGACTATAGAATATCAGTGTCACCATCCCACCAAGTCCCATCCACTTTTATCAAACTAGGTCTGGTTGAAGGTTTTCTGATTGTAGGAAAAGGTGGTTCCATTCTGAGCAACACTCCAACATAGTCCTTTTACCCTTTAGATGGGTTGTGTAGATTGTGTTTTTTTGGAATAGAAGTATACAGTACTGTTGGTGATCTTGTTGTTGGGCCTGCCTGGCCTGAGTCTGGATCTGTCCTAGCGTTTCTCACTCACCACTCCCATCTCCTCATGTCCCTCCATGACATCCTCCATCCGGATGTCCATCCACAGAAGCACACGTTCCTCCACATCATCACACAGTCGTGTCTGACCATCAGCAGGCTGGAGGACGGCAGCTGGCGCCCCACGGTGGAGTACTGTAATAATAGCCCCTTGCAAGCCTGGGTCCTGAGGAACTTCACCAGGCTGGAGGTGTTTAGGAAGCTCTACTACAGCCCCACTGATTACTTTCTGTAGGGGCTGTCTTCCTGCATGGGCCACCGCAGGTCAGTAACTCACTGTACAACCAGACCTTGTGGAGGTCCTAATGTGTAGTAGTCTAGTGTGTAGTGTTCTAGTGTGTAGTATGTTGTCTAGTGTGTAGTCCAGTGGTGGCTGGTGGGCGGAGATATCGGAGGAAGGGGTTATTGTAATGGAATTCCAGCCATTAAAATTAGCCCGTCCTGCTATATCTCTGCTCACCAGCAACCAATGGTGTAGTTGGCTAGTGTGTAATTGTCTAGTCTAGTGTCTAGTCTGTAGATCTGGAGTTGTGTGACTGTGGTGGAATAGGCTGTCACATTGCTTTAGTAAGTAGCTTCTTACCTCACAGTATGTTTGTTTTCGTTTCTTTTACCTCCGCATTGAGATGTTTTTGGATCTTCAGCATGTTGCGATGCTGGACTTTTCCAACGTTAGTAAAAGTGTACCATGCAAAGCAGTTTCAGTAGCGATTACCACTGACCTTTTGATATGAATCCATAACGACAGGAACACAGAGGCACACAAGGCAACAATAAACGTCCCTTGACAGCTTTAGATGGTGCTGTATACATGCCGCTATCTACAAGAAATGTATCCAGCCTTCTGCCGCACCAATTTAGATCTCATTTTACATGTATTTTCCTACATCAATAATTTATTTTGATACGGAAATTCACTGCCGGTCCTCATTGGATGAGAGCCGAGGAGGCAAGGTGGTTTTATTTTTAGCTGATTATCAATGCGATGGGCAGATTGAAATGGGCTCGCCTTTGTTTACAAGCTCTTTTGAAGTGATCCCTCATTGTGAGCTGTGCTTTCATGGCGCTGGCCTTGGGAAAGTGAGGGCTGCATTTTGAACACACTCCTATGGCCTCATAACAGCTGTGTTCAGTATGCAGCGTGTTCTCATTGTCTGAGGATTGAATTGCAATCACCACTCATTTCCATTTTACCTATATACATCTACTAAATCAAGTCTGGATGCTCGCTGCAATTAACTACCGGCTTCTGTTTGATATATGGATTGTATATCTATTTGTCAGTCCCTTAACTTTAGGCATTTACCGCTTTCCAGTACCTCTGTAATTAATTGGAGTTTATTTGTCTGTTAAACAGTCGGCGTCTGCCTGGTAAAGAACATATTCATTGCTGTGTGCTCTCCTTTTCGGACTACTGTTGGTTAAATTAGGTGAGTTGCTTTCAGGGCTATTGCTCTTTGTAAACATGACGGTGTTAGAGCAGCCTGCTGTCAGATGGCCTTATTCCGTGTTCTGTTCCTACCGTGTTCTCTGTCCTTGAGATTAACACTGCAAGACGCTCTCTGAACAGACAAAATTGGGACCACAATTATTCAGTGGGTGTGTCCCAAATTGCACCCTATTCCCTTTATAGTGCATACTTTTTTTTACCAAAGCCCTATGGGCCCTGATCAAAAGTAGAACACTATAAAGGCAATAGGGTGCCATTTGGGATACAGCTTGGCCACTCTGTACTGAACAGCCACAGTATCTGACCGTCATGGCTCCCTCCAATGGCAGAATGCCAAAATACACATTTCCATTAAATCTGTTGGTACGGTGTAGATTTTTTTGTTACACGCCAGACTCTGTTTTTAAGCATTGTTGGTATCAGAACAAATACACATTTAAAAGGGATCCTGCATCTGTCAGGAAGTCGTGTTGCCGACTCCTCTTTGTGACATAGCGGATAAATGTTCTTCACCCTGGGCCGGCTCTTGGAAACCATCTTCATTTAATTAGCAGGTCTCAGCTGTGCACACACACGGCACAGAGCTCATGAGCCACTCTCTGGGACTGCAACAGCTGTAATGGGAGTTTTTACTGCCACTGAGGAGCAATGAAATAATTATGAGCAGAGGACACGTCCCCCACATGTCTAATATTTTCATTAAATATGGATTGGTTTTCGTCCTCTCTTATATTTTCTTCATGCTGTCTTTTCTGCACTGAAGTATGGTGGGATCTTTCAGGGATGGCAAAAATAGCATCTCCATTATTGCCCCAGCCATGTTCTTATGATTAATAAATACGCTTTAGTGTAGTGGAGGTTCATAGGCCTACTTGAATTTATTATCAGGTACAGTACTATAATGGCAGATATTACAATTTTGCCTTGATAATGTAATACTATTTGGACAGCTATGGTTTTGAGGACATCAATACATGAATTTGTTTTATACATTTAAAAAGCAGAACATTGTATTTTTGAAACCTTTGCACCAAAACCTGCCTGAGTGGTTGGTTTTACTGTAATGCCCGGTTCATCTCCCCTCCCCTCCAGTGAAGTAATGGTGTGAGAGAGAGAGAGAGAGAGAGAGAGAGAGAGAGAGAGTGAGAGAATGAGATGCTGTGTGTGATGCTCTGTATGTACAGTGCCTTCAAAAAGTTTTCATACCCCTTGACTTATTCCACATTTTGTTGTGTTACAGCCTGAATTCACCCATCTGCACACAATACCCCATAATGACAAAGTGAATTGAAAATGAAATACAGAAATATCACACCCCTGAGCCAATACATGTTAGAATCACCTTTGGCAGTGATTACAGCTGTGAGTCTTTCTGGGTAAGGGACTGTACGTTATTTATAATGAGGGATACTGTACCTGGAGAAAATCGGACCTCTGAAATGAAAATGGATGGCCCTCCCTTCAGTAAAATATATTTTTACTGACCTTCCCTGAACATTAAAAAAACAAACATAATAATTCAAACATAAAGTGGATAGCAGAGAACATGCCTACAATTTATCCTCACTCCTAGGACAGACCAGAGACTGAGATATGCAGTTTCAGAAACTGTTCTTTGTTTTGTAAGCGTTACATGACAAAGTAACCACAAGGTTGTGGCTTCGAAGACCACTGCGGACAAGGGTAGGGGTGAAAATATCTCCATTATAGTAAAAGCACTACATTAATCTATTGTCTTATGTGCGGTCTGAGAAAATTCTACGTCATTTTACATTACTGGAGACAAGCAGAATATGTTTTTATACCACAATAGAGCATGACAAAGAATGAGCGCATGCTGCAGCACCAAAGA